GTTCCGGCCAACGCGCATGCCACCTCCGTAGAAACGGTGCGGTAACCGCGTATGGCTCTGACCGCCATTACCCTCTGAGGGCGCCAGAGGCGTACCCTATTCTGGGCGGTCAGAGCCGCCGCCCACACCGGTGCACCGTACAGCGCCATTGACCGGACAACCCCCGTGTACAGCCGTCTTGTCGCGACGCTGGGTCCACCCATATTGGGCAAGAGTCGCCCTAGGGCAGACGCAGCGCCGACCAGCTTTGGAGCAAGCTGTCGGAAGTGCTCGTCGAAGAGCCACCTCCCGTCGAGGATCAGGCCCAGATATTTCATCTGGGCCCGAACCGGTACGAGGACCGAGTTGACCACGATTGAGGCGCCAGGTGGTGGACCACGACGGGGCCCATGAAATAACAGGGCCTCCGTCTTATCTAGGGCCACCCGTAAGCCCAGCGCCTCAATGCGCCCGACCACCAGGGAGACTCCCCCTGTGGCCAGGCGCGCCGCCTCTTGGAAGTTTGCCCCCCGGGCTGTCACCAGTGTATCGTCTGCGTAACAGATTACACCCAGCCCGGGGGGGAAATCGGCGCGAAGGGCCCAGTCGTACCCTATGTTCCACAAGAGGGGTCCAAGAACAGACCTCTGTGGAACACCGCACGACATGGGCCGACACCTCAAATTACCTTCTCGGTCCTCGTACACGACGGTACGCTCCTCTAAATAGTCTGCCACTAGCCGCCTCAGGTACTTTGGCACCCCATGATAGTGGAGTGCTTCCTGATGCAGCTGAATGGCAGACTATTGAATGCGTTGGCGATGTCTAATGACACCGCCAACAGCACGCCGCCACAGCTCACGGCCTCTTCGGTCACGGCCCTCAGGCGCAACACGGCGTCGACTGTCGAACGCCCCGCCCGAAAACCAAATTGGGCGTCCGACAGATCGGGGCCCACCTCGCAGAGGTGCCGGACGATGCGGGCAGAAAGAACCCTCTCAAACAATTTGCCCGCCTCGTCCAGCAGCACGATGGGCCTATAGGCCGCGACCGAATCGGCAGGCCGTCCCGGCTTCCTCAATAGGACCAGCTTCCCGCTCTTCCAGCACTCAGGGAAGCGTCGATCGCATCGCGAAAGCGGCCAGCCCCCACGTCGACCTCCTCGGTCGGAGCCTGAGGAGACAGCCACGAGTGAATTATGGCTGCCTCCTCTAGTAGGTCCCGGTTCAGTCTGGCAACAGCCCACCGCGGAAAGCGGGATAAACGCCGCGCCACGTGACCCCTACTGGAGTCCTGGGTCCGGGAGAGCTCAAATCGGATATACAGGTGATCCGAGAGCGTCTCAACCTCTTCCAGGACACGCCAGTTCCTTACTCGTGCGGCGAGGGCAGGGGTAGCGAACGAGAGGTCCACTATCGACCCCCCCTGCTGTCGCACGCACGTGTTGGTGGAGCCTCTGTTTAGAAGACAGAGGCCCACCGAGGCCGCCCACTCCTCTACGGCCTCGCCCCTTGCGTCCGTCCTGGGGGAACCCCACGCAATGGACTTTGCGTTGAAGTCCCCCAGCACAAGGACGTGCCCAGACGCTAGTCGCCGTAACGAGGTCTCCAAGCTGGTTAGGAAAACCTCGAAGTCGTTCAAACTCCGGTTGGGGGAGAAATAAACACCATATATGGTGATCCCCCCCCACTCGACGGCAACATATCCAGTGCCCTTGTCTCTTAGCGACAAGGGCGGGGAATGAGCCGTCGTGGAACCGACGACTGCCACGGAGCCGTCCCAGTCACCCATCCAGTTTGGACGGGGAGGGACAGAATAGGGCTCCGCGACTACGGCAACACCTATCGACCACTGTGCCATGGTTTGCAGGAAGAGATCCTGCGCCGCGGCACAGTGGTTCAGGTTCGTCTGGACCAGGAGGCTGGAGACCCGATCCATTACTGGATCGTCTCTACAGCCTCCTCCATGGGCGACGACGTCGACGCACGAACTACATCGGAGGCAGCCTGGGTCGACTGGCTAGCCCCCGATGCTTGCTGAGAGTTGCGGGGAGGCTTGCAGCCCCCCTGCCCCATCTGGTGATTGGCGGGCTTGTTACCCGCCGCACACACGGGGCAGTGAGGAGCGGCAGAGCATTCCACCGCCACATGCCCCGGTCGACCACAGCGGAAACATAGTCCGCTGCAGTCGAAGCAGCTTTGGCACCTTTTTTTTTTTTTTTTTTTTTGGCACCTGACGCGCGTGTGACCCGATGCTAGGCATTTGTAACACCTCATCGGTCTCGCCGCCAGGACTGTGATCCTGGCGCTCACGAAACCGATGAGCAGCCTGCCGGCGTCGGCCAATACTTTGGCCGACGCTACGGGACAGCTGACCCACACGGCGCCAAGCCCCCCTGGACCGGGGCGGATGGTGCCGACCCTGACGTTGTCCGCGCTGCAACCCGTCTTCTCCCGGATTACAGCGCGGACATCTTCGGCCGTCACAGAGTCGTCCAGGCCCGAGATGCGCAGCTCCGCGCACTTGGTAGGCCTGGCGATCTTGACACCATCTGTGGTCGCGAATAAACTCCGCAGCCTCTCAGCGAAAGTGTCCGCCGTCTTGGCGCCTTCAGCCCCTGGGAACTCGAGAACTCGAGCTCCCGTTTGGGCGAGGCGCATCTTGACCCCCACCGTCCCGAAGTCGTTGGCGAGGCTGTCCCGGGCCTTTTTAAACACAGCCGCGTAGGACAGCCCGCCGTCAGCCGCCTCCGGGGACACGGTCACCACTACAGCCGCAAACAAACCCTATAATAACCCGTCTGGCCAGCGTGGTATAGTAGGCCAAAACCTCCTTTCTAAGGAGAGGCCTATGTACAGCAGTGGACTAGTATAGGCTGTTGATGTGTGTGATGTGATTTTTTGTATCAGTTGAGTTCATTTCTTTCTTTTAAGACGACGCCCGTTCTAGGAATAAATCCTGTATCTTTACAAACATACATGAAATGAACACACTCAGAACAACAATTTGAGGAACATACAAAGTGTTGTGCCATGTGAGCATCGACGAGGTCGAGGTGACCACCATCCGTGCAGTCTCATTATGTTTTCATTTCTCATCAATGCAAACACAATATGCTACAACGAAGCGTGGCCGGGTACAGCTAATAATATATAATTGTGTATTACGAGAATTAAGGAGCTCACGGTAGGTGATTGGTAGCACGGTAGGTGTTTGGTGTGATAGGTGTCGAAATGCAATGAGGGTTTTCTGAAATGTTCCACGTGAGATGGCAGCACTGTAGCGTCAGGTCCAACCACCTGTCAAAACACATACACGATTTGTATTTTTCGATCATTTTTTTGGTTTATTCATTCTTAAAAACGTTACAAAAGGAATATTGTTTTCTAAAATGCCAGTGTTGTGCAGTGCCTATGGGTGCAAATAAAACTTTTGCGCCTCTCTTTTTGAGCTCAATCTTCAGTTCGGCAACCTTTCTCTGGCCGTAATCTATAATAAACTCAATAACACTTCCAAATTCATAGACTTTCACTAAAAAATTATACGTTCGGTAAGAATCTGTGCTATCTGACAGCTGTTTAGACCTGACGCATACGAAGCGCCGTCTGGTGGCAGAAAAAATATCGAAAACCCTCATTCAAAAGTATGTATTTCATACCTATCGTAAAGTGTACGTAATTATACGATAAAATCCAATTGTGTTCAACTATCGTTCATTTAGCTGATATCAACAAAGCAGCTGTCCAAATATTAACTATAGCCAGCTTTCTAATAAAATAAACAAATTCTAACTCAATTGATCTGTTCTGGTCTCTGTAGATAAGCGTCCAACAAGTTCAATTTAAAACATCCGTTGTTCTGTCATCAATCAATATTATTATCAACTAATCTGTCTTTCTGTATGTGACATTCTGTTGTCTGTCTATGGGAAGTTACTTGTTCTAAATTTTGGATAAAGTATTTATTATATAAATGCTTGGATAATTTTGATGTGTCTAGAAGAAGTGTCGCACTAAAAAACTAGAAGGAATGGGTCAAATTTAGTATACTTGTGTATGGATAAATTGAGCGTCAATAGTGGCAGGGACAACTCAGCTGACACACACGGCGATAGCGGAACGGAATTAAGTGGCCAACAGTTGGACACATTTTTTTCCCACGATTACACAGCTTTGACAATAAAAAATCTTAGATTAGATAAGTAGTACAAATATATAGTAACATGCGATTAATCGCCTCAGCCAGTGTCGGAATCCTAGGCTTCGACATCTCGAGCGAAGTCTAGTTTCGAGGTCATTAGAGGGTAGAATTGGCCTCGAAAAAGGTCGGTGTGTTGAACAGATCGGGGCAGTATTTCCAGCCCATCGCCCCCAACTCTACAAGGCAGAACTCTGGCCGCATATGAAATACTGTTCTCATCTCTATGCAGGGGCACCTCAGTACCAGCTTCTTCCTATGAACCGTACTAAAAAAGAGCGACTCAAATCATCGATAGCCAAAAGATCTCCGACCCGCTCGATCCCTTAGCTTTGCGTAGAGATGTAGCTTCGTTCTGCATTCTCTATTGTAAATATCATGGAGAGTGCTCTGAGGAATCGTTCGGACTAATACTGCCCGCAACTTTCAGCCATCGTTCCACACGTCATAATTTTCATCCCCACCACTTGGATACATTTGGATAATTGGCACTACACAACAGTGAGCTTTTCAAGACACTTTTTGTCTCGCACTACCAACCTGTGGAACAAGTTATCGTCTGCGGTATTTCCGAACCGATACGACCTTCAAACCTTCAAGAAATGAGCGTACTCCTTCCTAAAAGGCCGGCAACGCGCTTGTGACACCTGAGTTAGAGGCTTTCATGGGCGGCGGTAGTCGCTTTCCATCAAGTGTCCCGTGTGCTCGTTTGCCCCCTATCCCATAAAAACACACACACCTCATTCTTATCCGGGGTAAGAAGAGATGATTGGAACACCATATGTCTTAAACCTGACATACATCTTGTGCCTCTTCTATACTAATCAAACCTTTCGTACACGCTCGCCGGTTACGGGTGGTTTTACAAGGCCATTCCTCAGTACACTGCGTGTCAGTTCTTCTTCAGTATACGTCCTTTGGAGCCTGCCCGCACCGGCTCCCCACTCCACTTTAGCCTTATGAACTGTTTTAGTTATTCGCTCTTCGTTTCCTCGTTGCGATAGTATTGGGCATCCTTTCAGCTTGCCCAAAACTATCGCAACAACCCGCATGTCTTTTTTACATTACACATACTTCTTATTCATCCAGTGGCGCTACTACCCCCCTCTATCTCTATGTCTCTTAAATAACAGATGTCCATGAGCGACGGTAGTCATCTACCATCCCCGTTACCTACCCGTCGTTGTCCCGTTATTTGAACGGACGTTGACCCGTCTGCTGTTTGCCTCCTAGGTATATCATAAAAAATATCTCTCAAGTTTGCTTGATATCTGAATTGTTTTAGAACGTATATTCTTAAAACCAAAATATACAAACAATCAGGCTTATTTTACAAAATGTATTAATACAATACAATATCATCGTCAACAAACAAACGTAAAACAAATTAATACCATACACAATTTTTAGTGAAGTACATGCAAAGTTCGCGGTCTCTCTCATCTTGAAATGAGCCCAGAGCATCTACACTATAATCCTTGCCCTTGACAATCCGTAACATGAGAATAGCAGGGTACAATGAGTGACGAATGACTTGTGTAAATGATTTCACATCGTCAAGCTTTCTTTTTAAATCACAGCGCGGATTCTCCTTTCCACACTCTATACGAAAGACCCTAGATGCAATAATATCAGTAAAATAAAAATTTATATCCATATGTTGGGAACCAATGTACTTGAGACTATTCTCCCAGGTGTAATCATTGAAGTCGCAGAAGTCCCGACTCCAACCTTTGATTATATGCCAAATATCTCTATTAAATGCTATCCCAATGTTGGGCAAGTTCTTTGCCCATATCTCTAACGCAACCACAGCCGTTCTATTTAAGTAGTTGCCGGGTTCAGGCGAATGCGCCCCCAAACTGATTATTTCACATACCGGACAGTGGGCACCTCTAACGTGTTCTAGAAGTTTCAACACTATTAAAAAGTCTTCAGTTACATAATCATTTTCCTGTAGAAATAATATCGTTTTAGTGTAATTCTTTGTAACACTTAGGTTATCAAACACCTGGTTCACCTGCCACCACCAATGAAGCTTCTTCTGAGCTGCCACAGGGTCTCTTTCTTTTGATTTTTCTGTATTTTCTTTATCATCACTGGCGTATGCTACCCCAGGATATACAAATGGGTGCAGCTGTATTGAATACGGGTAGAAAATTTGCATATACCTGGCAAAGTTTACAGTGTGAACGGCTTGGTTCATTTTGGTTTCAAAAACATCATGAGAAAAAATGAGAAGCGCACTGGCTATTGAATGGGCTGTTCTCAGCGAGTCCAATAGTTGTTTGAATAAATATACATCATTATGCACTTGTATCACAATAATGTATGTCACATTAGTGATCCCGTAAAGAAATTCAGCATTGTAAACTCTTTGTTTCAAGTTGATTCGTCTGATATTAGATTTCATTTTCGATATTTTAGATCTTCTAATTTTTCTTTTATGCAAGTCTTCTTCTATCATCAAATCATAACTTACGTTATCATCTACGTTAGCATCGTAATAGTCGTGTATGAGCTGTTTTCTTTGATCCTGTAGAAATACCGCATGTTGGTAGACTTGAAATGCTAACACTGATATTGTGACGAGGAATATTGCGATGAAGATTCGGACTAAGGTATTTGGATTTACAGTCATAGTTAAATTAATATAAAGAACATTATACCTAACATAAAAATTGTGAATTTTATTAATTTCATTATAAAGTTTGCATGTTGACAATTAGTAACCACAGATCGTTCAAATATAGAAGAAACTAAGAAGAAATTATTCATGCTCTTTGGTACTTATTTCTTCGTCTATAGAGCTGAGTAAAAGCAAGGTACTTACAAGTACACTATAGTTTTTTTTATTTTTGTTCTCTTTGATTCGATTGATTGCATGCAAAATATAAGTTTAATGTTCATTATAAGCAATGATCCTGACGCCAAGATCACGTTAAAGTTAAAACTTATGAGTTCTCTCTAGATCATGGTTCTTGTCTTGGTATTTTACTGGTATAGTTGTTTTGTTGAACTCAAAAATAGTATGTTATCATACACACTCGTTTTACCATGTTTCTGTACCATTTTCTCAAGACATTATGATCTTTAATACATAAGACTTTCAGCCTATTTGTTTTGAAATAACTAGGGATGTTTTATGTTTAGTAAAGCTGATCAGTAAAATACATTATTATTTTGAATTTTCATTTGTTTTCAGGAACATCTCCATCTGGAGCTCACACGGAACCTTGGATTTTTGTTGTAGTTCAAGATCCAGAAACCAAAGAAGCCATTAGAAATATTGTTGAAGAAGAAGAAGAACTAAATTATCAAAAGAGAATGTCTCGACAATGGGTGGCAGACTTAAAGCCTTTTGCCACGAAACCTGTTAAGCCGTACCTGTCAGACGCTCCAGCATTAGTTTTGGTTTTTAGACAAACGCACTCCTGGAGAAAATATGGAAAGAAAAAGATGCATTACTATAGTGATATTAGTACAGCTATAGCCGCGGGGTTGCTGATAGCAGCAATTCAGGTAATTAAAATTCAGGCAGAGATACATTGAAAGAATATAATTTGAATGCACATTCATTTTTAAACTGAAATTTATCAAACTAAAATTGAGTAGGACCGAGTTAAAATATACCTTGTCAGGACAAACATACAACGTACTAATTTGAGAAGTCTGATTACATTTTTTCCTAAAGTAAGACAATCTAAGACAAGTTCGTACTTTTTCATACATCTATACAAGACACAGATATAAAGAGGTTATAATAATATACATACTTAGAATACCAAGGTATTGTTGTTGAAAATATTTTAGCTCCGTTTCCTATCTGTATTGTTACTATACTCAAAATTTTCAATTTTTCTGATTATTATTATTAAATTATAATATTTCAGTAATACACACAAACAACACTTACATGTAACACAATATTTGTAGATATTGTAGAAATTGAGGTTTCTGAATAAGAGGAAACCTTTTTAACGACCTTTTTAACGGTTAACGAGCCCAAATATCATAATATTGTGATCTATGGAGTAGTAATAGGGTAGCCTTAATATGCAGGTGTTAAGAAGTGAATATTACTACTTATAATTACTTACTACCTAGCACGTTGAATCTTATACCACAAATACAATTTATAATATTTCATTCTAAGTAAAGAATGAACATGTTCAATGAATGAATGGAATGAAATGTGAATATATTGATGACCTTTTTATTCCTACTATCTGTTCTATCATTGCAGTGTTATCATAATTAATTATAACATGTGGCTTGTGAAAACAGATATCAAACACTAAACATAATTTACTTAGACTGCCGCACATACGTTTGAATTATAGTGTCTTATATTTATGTGTGCAATTATTATTATAAGAGAAACGTGTCGATATTGCTGATAACTTTCATGGCTTTCGAAAGTCATCAACAACATCATTAGGATATGACAAGAGTTACACAGCAGTTACCGATCCAGAGAAATAAATCAAATACTTCGACAAAAGAGAATGAGCTAACCATGACATGCGATTCGTTCTTGCATTCTGATATATTATTTTCTCCCTTGCGATTCTTACCAGATCTTATTATTGTAGATGTGTAATTATTCTATACGAAGATAAACTTGGTCGTTGTTATGGTTATTTTTTTAAAACAACTTTGCACTTGGAATTTATCCTGTGTCGCGGGGGAATTTACGAATATTCAAAAAACGGACACACCCAGACTTGTAAAAACGATTTCTGAAACACACAAAGTGTTGTCCCATGTGGGGATCTAACCCACAATACTCAGCGCAGTAACGATGAAGTGATCGTTCAAACCAATACGCCATCCATGCAGTCATGTAATATTAAGTAGCAGTAGAATTTTGATGATAATGAATTTCGTTTCATTCCAGTATTGCGGCCTAGTGGCACTGACTTCAACGCCTTTGAACTGCAATGCTCGTCTCCGTGACCTACTTTCCAGGCCAGTGAATGAAAGGCTTGAATTATTGCTACCAGTAGGAAGACCACACGAAGAAGCTACTGTCCCAGATCTTCAAAGAAAACCCCTAAATGAAATAATGATTAAGGTTTAAGAAATAAGGCTGATTTGTGATACTATATGTAAATAATATAATAGGAAATATCTCTGGGTTAAGAAATTGAATTTAAGAACTCAAACAATATAGTGCTAAGGTTTTTATTTCTTTTTCAAGCAAAGAAATAATGCTTTGCTTGAAAAAGTAACGGAAAACAAATCCATGGAGGTGTATATAGACTTCTAAAATAATAAAAACATTAAGGGCCGGTTTTTTAATCCTCAGATAAACAGTTAGATAGCATTTATTCCACAGTTAGCGTAATTTTCTAAACAAATGTTTGAATGGAGCAGGAATCGAACTCACGACCTTTCGAGAGTAGCAGTCCCTTACACAAACCGCTTTACCATCGTTCACCGTCACAACCACCGTTAACAAGGTTGTCATATTATCTGACGACAAGCAATGACAAGAAAAGAATGATACAAATGCTGTCTAATAGCTGGTGATCCTTATCTTGCGTGTGACAAACTGCATAGATGCATCTCGCTTGCGCATGTTTACAGTGAGCTTAGCTATGAAAGACGATCAAGTAACTATCTGTCGGTTTACACCCGATTGAAAAACAGAAGAAGTTTATTCGCTTGATAAACAGCAAGATAAATTTATTCCTAGGGTAATTGTCTGTCAGTACATCTGAGGAAAGAAACACAGGCCCTAAGTTACACAAAACCTAAGTTCTCTTTGTGTAATTTATGCTAAGTAGGAATTTTTGGAAGTGGTATAATCGTAGTGGTAGCGTGGTGGGCATGCTTCCGCAGATATAGGCCAGGCCGGACCAGGGTGATACTACGGCCTCACAGAAAACTGGTGTTAAGCAGTTCTTTCGTTGCTTTACACTGAGTGAGTGAGGTTACTGGAGCTCAAATCCGCTCTTCCCTGATTCTGGGGGGGAGGCTGAAAAGGTGGCGGTAGTTTCTTACCATCAGGTGACCCGTCTGCTCGTTTGCCCCCTCATGACATAAAAAAAAACATGTGCGTCTCGGGACGCCCAACAGAAGTGATAACTTAAACTAATCTAAGTTGAACTATTTAATATTAAAGTTGTTTAACTTGAGAAAAGCTTAGGTTCTTATTTAAATTTTATATAAAGCGTCTTTTCGTAATATGGCTAGCGCTGTGGGTTAGAGTGAGAGAGAAGGTGCCTGCCGCTACCATATGCGTAAGAGAAAGGGAAGCCAGACAGACTGGCCGTAAGGCGTTACGTAACGAAGCGGTTTACCGTCTCATAAGAAGTTATCACTTCAAAAATTTTAGCCTAGAAAAGACATGTTTGTTCAACACCTAACCAATGGTCAGTAATTGTTCTTTGCACTTTGCCAGCTGTAAACTCATTTTACAATAGTCTTAACTGCCGGGTTTTTCTGTAATGTACTTAATACTGACTTCTGGTTAAGATTCCTACTATCTTAAAAGCGGAGACTGAAAATTTGCTAAGGGTTGATTAAATTTATTAGGATGCGGTAGATATTAGTCGCTTAATTAAATATTAGTAGAGCTAAAGTAGAGAACAATTATTATTATAGTTGTGGGTCTTTTTAGTGAGTTAGTTTCTGCCCAGACTTTTTATTGAACATTATTGCCTTACCATTGATGAATCATACGTCATTGGTCAAATACGCAAAATGATGGATGAAGGATGTATGTCAAACACGTATATTGTCAAAAACGTTAAATGTCAAACTCGTAAATTGTATGGTCAGTATATGCAATTTAATGTTTTTCCAAAATGAATAATCAAATTTGATGTAATTATACAAACAGTATGTTAAACTATTAGACGTGATTAATTATTTTAGGTTATTAACTATCCGGAAAGTTAAGAAAAGTAACAATTGTGATAATGAATACCTTTTAGTTAAGTAAAATAATATACCATGTTTAGATTCATAATGGTTTCTTTGATTTTATTGCCTTCTTCATTAACTGTGCCTGTTAGACTTGGTACGTGTTTGACTTTATGCGTGTTTGACTTTGTGCGTATTTGATTTTTTGTGGATTCGAATAAATGGCTTCTTCATAAACTCTGCGTGTTAGACTTGGTACCTACGTGTTTGACTTTATGCGTGTTTGACTTGGCGCGTGTTCGACTTTTTGTGGGTTAGACTATATAGTAGAAATAAATTATATTTCTTTGAACTTGTAAGCGTACGAGTATATAGATCTAACTACAGGGTACGCATTAAAAAGTTTACAAGGCAGGCTTCAAGAGTGGGATTAAATATCGCCAAACATTTTACCTACCATTTTACCCGGTAAATTTTGACTGTACTGTCACCAGACCTACCGAACCTAGGATCATGAGTACAGTGCGACTGCAATCAGACCTCCACAACCCAAGTTCTAGGTGATATCGAAATTCTGTAGAAAAACTGTTGTCGGGACTTCTTTTTAGGGCTACAACTACCTGTAACGTTTGCCACAACCGGGTCTATCGGCTTAGCTTACTCAACGGAGGGTTCTCAATGTGTTAGGGGGGTCACCCATCCATAAGACTGACCTGGCTAGGATTGCTGAACTTTGCAATATGTTACCTTACCCAATTAGCCACGAGCACCTCACTAAAGTGTCTGTAAATGTGAAAGTGAATAAAAGGGCCTATAAATGTGAAAGACAATACTAAAGGTAAGGTTAATTAGGGTATGTAAAATATATGTATTTTACATACCCTAATAAACCTTACCCAAGTTATAGTCAAGGTTCAACAGTCTGATTAAATCTCGAATTTAAGAATTTAGTGGTATTTGTTAAGGTTTCGGTTAAGATTGTGCGGCAAAACCAACTGAATTAAGGGTTAAACAGCTAAGTTCCAGCAAATATCAAACTCAAATTCACTTTATTTCATAAATTTTTTAAATTGTTTGAAATCGTCTTTTATGTAGACTCTAGTCATAGATCAACACACACAAAAGCAACAATCTCTATAGTAAGCAAATAAATTTAACAAAAATCAAACCCATACAAAATCTATGATATGCCTGTGCCGATCTACAACCGCCCGTTTCCAAGGGGTTGAGCCTTATGAGAAGAAAGGGCAAACAAACTCATTTCGTCATATCGTCTTTATAACTATTTCGCTTATCTGGTAAACAGCTTTTGCCCGTTGAAGAGTTGTTGGTGGTGGAATTGCATCTATAAAAGTTTACGAATTGGGTACCCCCATTTGGATAATTTGTAAAAGTGAAAAACAGAGTTAATATACTCGTACGTTATGTTATTAATACCAAAAATATATAAAGACTTTTTATGATGGTTTATATTTTATTTCTAGTGTGATTGGCATTTTCAGAAGTGGTTATTGGTGTGAGTCAGGTTATGGAAATGAATATGTTATATATTACAGGAATGTACCAGCAATAGTTTTATTTGCTCCTATTGAAAATTAAATAAAAATATAGTTATTAGACTGATGACTATGCTAAAGATAACTCTAAGAGTAAGAGATATTGTAATATTCAATATGCCTGGGAATAGGGGAATTGCTACCTTTGAAAAACGTGCTACGTTTTACGTTTAGTTTCTTACCGTGGTAAAGCCATGCTTCGGCACGTATGGGCCGGCTCGTCCGGAATGATACCACAGCTTCACAGAGAAGACTTTCACTGAGTGAGTTAAGTTACCGGGGCCCAAAATACCGGACTCCAAGGGCGGCAACGCACTTGTGACTTTTGAGCTGCAGGTGTCCATGGGCGGCGGTAGTTACTTTACCATCAGGTGACCCGTCTGCTCGTTTGCCCCCTTATACCATAAAAAAATAAAACATGTATTGACAATTCTCTCAAATAAGCTAGTAATCCGCAGGACAACAACAATGCAAAGGGAAAGCTACACTCAAATGTAGCTTCATTATTGACTAACTACACTCGGGACCGGTTAAAATTATGATTGGCTTATTAAAGAGAACATTAACTCTGGGAGACAGTAGTGCCCAGCACGTCATCGTGCAAGCATTCAGTAGATAAGGGACTTTAGCGTCCTTAACCTAGCAATCGTTCTAGATGTATGTATAAACCTTTTCGTTCCGATCCACTAATTAAGTCATTATAGTCTAGTAAATAGTGCAATATTTGTAACAATTAGCACAGCTTTAATACTTGTCGCCAACCTACCGTTTTAAAAAAAATAAAATTCATAATGAACCAATTCCTCCTACTGGAAAAAAGGTCTTAAGCAATTAGTACAAAAATAAATCGGCACCTCACCTGTAGGTGCCGATTTCAAGTACAAAAACGCTCTGCGATGGTGTAATGTCAATTTAAGTTAATTTTGTAATTTAATTAACATTTGATAACATTCAACTGAGAATTCGCTTTATTTGAACAACGGCACTAACGAGTTTTACTATATTGGTCAACTTGTTCAATGTCGTTCAACCCGTAAAACTAATCGCAAAGCTTGTAACTGGGCTAAGGCATTAGGCTTGTGGGAGGATCGGATCGGACTGGATCGTAGTAGATTTTCAAAAATTGAATTTTTGGCCCACAGAATTTCAATAAAATGTGGGTACGAGTAGTAACTTTTTGCACAACATTTGTGGCAAAATGAATTGAGAATATATAAATAGGAGGTACACTATTCCATCTTTATTCAGATTACTCAGTAGATGGTGAATGTAATGTCAAAGAAAAATATAAAAAAGGCAATATTTATAAGTTTGAAAGTTACCATGTTTTCGAGTCATCGGTTTAGATAAGAATTAGACATAAAAACACATAGCAAATTTTATGTTTTTAATACCAAAGACTGAAATTTAACAGGCACATTTTACAAACACTGACCAGTTGAGATGGGCTAACCAGGCCACCACTATGTGGTTCAGACTAGCGGCGGCAACTACGGCGGCGGCGGCGGCGGCAACTACGACGCCTACGACGACGACGGCCGCAACTTCGGCGACGACGACGTCGGCAGCTTCGGCGCCGGCGACGGCGTCGGCAACTGCGGCGGCGGCGACGACGACGACCACCACAGCGACGGCGGCGGCGACGGCAACGCTAAATGAATTAAATTATTGCGACTTAGTGCTTCTGAGTTCTAAGAGAAATCGTGGGTTTCATTCCCACACATGACAGTTGTGTGATAACCATAACCATTTATTTAGGCGTGATTTATTTTATTGTTGTTGTTGCTATGCATTTAGAAATGTGTTTAGCAACAGTTTAGTTACAAATATCACAAGATTTGTTTCATGTGAATTAAACGGATCAGAGGCAATATGAATATATATAGGGTTTATAGAACTATTTTTAACACGACATTTGTTAAAACAATTTGCTAAACATCAAAGCTAAGCTAGCTAAATTTACTATATATTTAAATCTGTAAAATAAAAAATGCGATTAAAATAAAATAAAAGCTGTTAAGTAGCGATTACTGCAAAGTGTGTGCAGTAGTATAGTATAGTAGGCCAAAACCTCCTTTCCAAGGAGAGGCCTATGTTCAGCAGTGGACTAGTATAGGCTGTTGATGTGATGATGTGTGTGCAGTAGTAATGCAAGTCGTAAGTGCACCTATGTACATAGAATAGAGAGCATGGAACCAATGATAAAATTCTTGGTAAAGAAAATGGAGGAAGTGAAGCCAGTGGAGTTTAGTGTTTTTAGATACACACATGTATGTAGAACTAACCGAACGTCGACGACGTCGCTTTCCGCAGCGGTCGGATGGTCCAGATTCAGATCTCGAGAATGAATGCATTCGCATGGGCTTCTCGGTTGTACGGCCCCCCATTCTGTAAAATTTAAGGTTATTAGAGAAGCAAAGGATGGTGGGGTCAAAAGTTAGGTCAAGTTACGTGAATAGTAGTACGTGAAGCAAATGTTGAATCATTACTGCTAAATGAGTCTACGTTTATTTCCATATTGATATTTTTTTAAGCATGTACAACACTCCTTTAGTCACAGAATCCTCTGAATCAAAGCACTAACAAAATTCCCTCAGTATCAACAGGTTCATGGTGTTATAAGGTCCACGTATCATAATGTCCACGTATCATAATGTCCACGTATCATAATGTCCACGTATCATAATGTCCACGTATCATAATGTCCACGTATCATAATGTCCACGTATCATAATGTCCACGTATCATAATGTCCACGTATCATAATGTCCACGTATCATAATGTCCACGTATCGTAATGTCCACGTATCGTAATGTCCACGTATCGTAATGTCCACGTATCGTAATGTCCACGTATCGTAATGTCCACGTATCGTAATGTCCACGTATCGTAATGTCCACGTATCGTAATGTCCACGTATCGTAATGTCCACGTATCGTAATGTCCACGTATCGTAATGTCCACGTATCGTAATGTCCACGTATCGTAATGTCCACGTATCGTAATGTCCACGTATCGTAATGTCCACGTATCGTAATGTCCACGTATCGTAATGTCCACGTATCGTAATGTCCACGTATCGTAATGTCCACGTATCGTATCGTAATGTCCACGTATCATAATGTCGATTTGTATTGTGACAAAGTGGACTACATATTTGGTTTTGATTCAGAGGACACTGATTCAGTAGACTTTGTGTCTAAAGGTGTACACTAAACGTGACATTCTCTAGACTCAAATCATAACTTTTACTGGTATATGAGTTTTATAAGAAAATGTAGTTAATAGGATAGTAAAAATATCACACATTTTAGGAACAAACTAAGCATACGAAGGAAAGTACTCTCTTCCGATGTAACAAAAAAATCCTTTTCCTTCTTTCCATGGGTATAATCTTCCAGAAATTACTTTATACACAACACAACACAACAATACACCTATACCTTACCAAGAACCTTACTTAAGTACTTGCGTATAACTTAATTTTAAGTTTATTAGACAACATACCTTCTGCTCATCCGGTCGTCATCATTTCCGTGTTCCCTGAAACCAAAAGTCTCTTGAGTAAAATTAAATTGTTGGATATAACAGAGTGCAGAACTGCAAGATTTTAATATTGTTTAAATAGTGTATCGTTTTAATAATCTCTAAACTTAAAAAGACGGTTCATTTAAATGTTCTAAAATTCAAATTCTTTTAAAACTAGCAAAAAGTGTAGATTTGTAGATTTTGCGCAATATAAATAAGGGTTTGATGCTTTTTATTTTTTATTTTTTTCCTTTATTATTTTTTCTTAAAAAGACAACTCCCGTATTAGGAATAAGTATATCCTGTATCGCGTGGGGACTTTACAAACATTCATGAAACGGACACAAAGAACGCCCAGACTCAGAACAACGATTTGTGGATCACACAAAGTGTAGTCCCACATGTGGGGATCGGACCCACAGCACTTACCGTAGTAGTAAGCAGTGTGGCGATGGCTAAACCACACCGCCATCCGTGCAGTCTATGTGCTTTAGTTAGGACAGACTACCATTATAGCGTATAAAGAAACGCACTTAGATTTTAGAATAACTTACGCAGTATCAGTAGGAAGTTTCTGGTCTTCCTTCTTAGTAGAGGCCTTGTATGGCTTATAGCCAGCAGTGTGACGGCGTGCTGCAGCTGCCCGTCGGTGCCTGCCAAAAAAAAAATAGCAACATGTTAGAACGATGCTCGTATTGAGTACAAAAACAGTTTTTACTTCTATCACAAAATAAGTATAGATAGTTCAACTCAGTTGTGCGCTTGGCCCTATGTGTGCGTGGGCTTGTAAATATATAACTTTCATTCGTTTGTGTGCAGTGACGCGGCAGTCGGACGACGACTGCCACACGAATGAAACTTGTATATTTACAAGCCCACGCACAACCGCGCACAACTGAGTTGAACTATATATAACTGTATTTTCTTGTAAAAGTTATAACTTCGTTTTTCACTGCAGATCTTTGTCTACAGTTCTTTATGGTATAGGCGGGCAAACGAGCTAAGAGCAGAACAGCAGCACGGGTCACCTAGATAGTAACTAGCGCCGCTCATGGAAACCTACAACTTAGCAAAGAATAATACGGATGGAGGAAGCAGAATGGCATGAGGCCTTCTACAAAAAATGAGAATTCAAATAAAAAATAGCAAAATTTGTTAAAAATGTGGATGACAATATTTTGGCTAAAGCATCTTAAATTAAATGTTTTAAAAGATTTGCAGAAGCTACTGCAAACCTCGCCGATAGTACCATCAGAACTTAACGCTTCAGGTATGTCTAAATTATTAATTCCGGGTAAAAAAAGTGTTCTCGTGTTCGTGTTCTCAATTTGGTTGCATTTTGTTTTTACCACAGAATTCTGGGGTAAAAAAAATAATAATGAAGAATATGGTTTATGAGAATTAATCATGATGTAAGCAGTGCATAGAAGTTGGTGATTTATTTAAAGTTAATTTTATAATATTAAGGCCGACAATGCGCTTAAGACTCCTGAGCTGCGAGCGTTAATGGACGGCGGTAGTTACTTTCCATCAGGTGACCCGTCTGCTCTTTTGCCCCATTACCATTAAGAAAATAATGTCACAAAGATAATCACGCACATTCCAGAAGGTTCGTAATAAGCGTTCGCTAGAATGATCTTTTACGAGTATTATAAATACGGACACATCTTCTTTGGAGTCAGTTCAGTTCGAGCTACAGAGCGATAAACATCGAAGCGATTGAAATGAATAGAAGTGTGACCCAGCGACCTGGGCGATAATTCCAGACTATTCTTGTGTTGTGTGAACGTTTTCAAGTGTAGTGATAAAGTCTCTTTAGTCGTCAGAAGACTTATTATTCCAAATGAACGAACCCTAGTACGTAACAATAATAAAGTACACAACGTACTTTTGTTGTATATCGACGTAAGTTTTCAGGCGGGCAGTGTAGCGCGGAGTTTCAGTCTCGCTGCGCTTGCGCATAAACACCACCACATCATCGTTCAGCTTTTTTTTCTTTTCGTCCTCGGGCTCCATGATGCCGCCGCACATTAGTTATGGTCACCTAAAATATAAACAAAATGATATTTTAAATTTAAAACTTTAATTAAAAGAATAACACTAGATAAAAGAAAAGAGAAAATTAAGCCCAGATAGTGATTACCGCACTCTTAGAAAATTAAAGAGGGGAAATTGAGAATATATCAGAACAGAAGCGGCGCTTAAGAAAAAGCAATGGAAGGAAATGGATATTGCTAAAACGGCAAGATTGCGTGTAAGGAATATTTCAAAATTTGTACTTATTAATCTGCAGATTATCTAGTCGAGTTCGTTAAAGTGAAAATAATTGTTTCAGTTCTTACATTAGCTAGAATATCTGGTGACTTCCTGTGTGCTGCTTCGGGGGCGGGTCTCTTAAACTTTGTAAATTTAATCAGCAAGAAAAAAATGTACATAATATGAATTTAATTGTAGACGCAATAAAAAAATGTATATCGTATCGTTGTAAAAATGAAATCAACTCTCCAGAGGCCCACCATGATTAACTGAAGGCTTTTCAAATTCATTTATGACACCATAACAATGTATATTATATGTATACAAATCTACTATATTCCATTTAATATTATTTCCTTCCGGAACATCAGAGATGCGCCTGGTAAAAAGGTTATGGCAAAATCTTCTTTAGGAGTAAGTGAGCGTAGTTTTGTATCAGGGCGTTGGCGTGTTCCGTAACTGAAGGTTTATGACACCATAAACATATATATTAATAGCATAATAATCTACCATATTTGGTAGTCAGTTTAGTCTATACTAATTTACGACAACTTTTCAATTTCCATCCGGAACATTAAAGCATTATAATTAGACATTTAATAACTTTGCCATAACTTTTTAACCAGGCGCTTTTTTGACCGAATTGAATGCACAAAAGGGTTAACGAGATAGAGATATGGTACTTAGAGACATTTAAAGAGTAGTTATTTATATAGAGATTTCCGGAACGATACGACCTTCAAACCTTCAAGAAAAGAGCTGAGACTCCTGACTTGCAGAAAAAACATAAATTTTGAAAATGCTTTATAGTAAAATAAACTTAAGTGTAATAACGTAAGTGTTATAATGTTAGTAAAATGGATACTTTTTGTGATAGTAGAAATTATTACAAAGCCTTTTAAATTTAATATATTGATATTTCGTCAACATACATTTAAAATTTAATTATTTTAAATTATTTTTATTATTTTACGAATGTTTGTAAATTGTTTTTACAAATTGAGAATAATTAGTAACAGTTTGCTTGTAATGTGTCCTTCATTTTGAACATTTCTTTAAAATATTGTTTTAGTGCAATTTTCAGTAAAAAGTGTACTAATGATTCATGTATAATACCAATATCTGATACCAATGTAGACCAATATCTAGACAGATCGCATTTTTGCCTTTAAACCAAAGTTTATAAGATGCAATTTGTATTGCAGAAGAAAAATGATAATACGTTTTGTACAACTGCAAACAGTGTGCAAATATACGCTACCAAATACAGCTTACAGTTTCATTTGAACCACATCTTTGTGCGAAGTGAGTAGTCGTTTGAGTAATCAAGGTACCAGAATCTAATGATTTCAAGTAGATCATACATATTAATAGGTGTTGTATAATTTATCCAAGTAGCGACGCTGGCATGGGACACTATGTCACTACCCAACGAAAGATGAGATGTTTTGTTGTGACGACAATGATTCTTACTGTAAAATTCGTCAAAGCAGCGACCAACAAAAATTAATTAATTGTATTATGTCCAACTTGATTAATTGTATTTTGAAATAGTGGATTTGTTGAATATTAAATTCAAACAGTTGTCCTACTTTCATTTGACAAGTTCACCCTAAATAGCGAATTCATAAGTAATATCGAAAAGGAATTTATTTTTCAGGTACGGAATATAAACAATGTTCATCTGTACATATTTGTTTAGTAGAATTACTAAATGATAGTCACTGTTTTTTTTTATATCTGTCACATCTCACACACGGCCGTCTGATCCCAAACTAGGCAGAGCCTTTAGTATGGTAACCAGACAGCTCATAAACATACTTATATATTTTTAAATAGATAGGTACATATTATAGATAAATTATACCCAGACCAAATGACCGTGCTTATCACAGAATATTTATCCTGGGCGGGAACCCACGACCTCCGGTTTAGCAGTCAGGGTCACTAACCACTAGACCAACAGACCCGTCGTTTTTGATTCCGTTGTGATCTTAGGTAGGTACAGTAGATTTATTATGCAGAATGCGTCAAGCCAAATAAAATGCGTTTATTTGCTAAATTCACTCAGTTTTACTACTTTCTCCTTGTGCTACAATTTCTAACACTTGCTACTGAACATTTTTGGAGTGGAATATAAATTGACCAATTAATTTCAGGAAAATACGCACTTCAGGAAAATAAAGTCGCTCTTGAATATAGATTGAGGAGCCACATTTAAAAGTATTGCATATGTTGAAATATCAACAGTACTGGACTCGAGATGTTTAGTAGGCACTAAACAATTACTACTAAATGATACAAAATCTTCAAAAATATTCATTAAATACTTTCCGTGTTCCAGGTGGCTCCTCAATTCAAATGCTTAGATTGAGGAGCCACTTTTATATTGATGTAACTTTGGATATATCTTATTACAAATCTCAGAATTTGTTCTACAAAACTATTTGCTCACGTACTAAATAAGAGGGAAGTTTCGGTTTAAAATCTGATATGGCTCCTTTATCCATACGGATACAAAAAATCCTCATGTGGTTAGACCGCGGCAGGCTTACTTGCCTCGCGCTATTTGCAAATAAGTTAATGTAAAATGTATCCAAATAGCACGACTTAAGCTTTTTTTCAAGTTTCATTATCTTATCGTTTGAGAACGGCGTGGTATCAGTAAATGTGTGGTATGGCGCTTTCATACAACCGTTTCCTAGCACTTTTATGGTAGTCAGTTTGGGAGACGGAATATTATGAATAACAAGAGTATGTACATTCAAATTTGATAGGTGTTGACGCACAGGAAAACTTAATTATATTTTAATTTATTCCTTTTTCTGGCTTTCACAGCTTGTCAAGATGAATAATGGTGAAGTCAACATCATTGCCCGGCACTCTAATCGGCCTATCAGCACTATCAGAATTAACTAGACAGCTACATCATCATCATCAACAGCCTTATAGTCCTCTCCTGCTCCGTACTGGCTTCTCCTTAGAAAGGAGGTATTAGCTTACTACACCACACTGGTCAGATGGGTTAGGATAGGGTTTGTGTCAAGTTAATTCACTCCTGGCTGTCTTCTCAATCTCCGACCGAGAAGGTAGACACGGGGACATATTCAAACTTCCATAGGTCCTGAGCCTTTGGAAAAATTAAGGATAGAAATATTTTATGACACAAAAGAATATAAAACATACCACTTAGCTGCCGCCCACCGCCTGTTCATTATTACTAACACTTCAAAGTAAAATTTTTAATAAAAAAAAAATCAAAACATGAAAAAAATGGCAGACTATAGGATAGACATTACAGCAAAATTATTTGATTCAAATGAATGTTTGTTCTGACTATGAAAGTATCTTAAAAAGAATTAGTTTTGTTTTATACAATCAGCCAATGCTTTTTTTACTGAGAATTTAGTCGACCTCTTTGATAATGTTCTAGAATTAAAACCTTTTTACTTAATAAGAATTATACTATAAAACCAACTTGCTTCTTTTTGTATTCTTTAGTCGAGTTTAGTACACCGTTAGTCAAGATTTTCCAATCAATTAAGAAGAATTCAAGAACTCTCGTTAATAGAGCTTGTTGGCAAATGGAAGATATTAAGGAAAGAACATTTTTTTGGGAACATTGCAATATCACAATAATACTCGTAATATTGCTCAATCCTTTTGCAATATTACACACATTCCAAAAGGATTTAGCTAGTTTATTTCACTGTTGGTTAAAGAGGATTTTGGCGCGAGTTCGTTCAGTGATTGAAGAGGACATTAGAACATCCTATTATCTGGCAGTGTGGGTTTGTATGTGTTTTGTTTAAAAGAATATAGTTTTTCAGTTACAAATTGTATTAGTACTTACATTTACCAGCACATAGGTATTTAAAAAGTACAGTTACTTTAGTAAACAGTTGCTAAATCGCGTACAAGACAAGAAAATGTGTTTTTTCCCCTTTTTAATAAATGGGTTAATGGGCTTACAGCTCGGAAGCGCTGAGTTAACATTAAGAATGTGATATTACAACAAAATTATGTTTTACTTGACACATAAACCTTATAACTTGGTGATAAGGATGGTTTTAAGATGACTGCAATGTCAGGAATGTAGAAGTTAAAAATACGTGTTCGGAAATATTCGGGCGTTTCCGACGGTGATCGACAAAGCTCGACAGTGCGCGGCCGCCCGCCCGCCGAACGTGCGCATACGCGTTGGGCGGCGCTGAATTTCTGTAAAATATTAACGTTTTCTATATGATTAATACTATATTTATTGCAAAATATATCCAATGTATGTTAAATTACAAAAACTTTTTACTTTTTAGTGTATTATTAAACAAAAGTATGATAAAAGCTTTAAACCAAATTAACATTAGTGTGTGTATGTAACAGTGAGTTAGAAATATATAAATCAATGTGTTATGTGATAACCTCACAAGTGCCATTAAAATAATAAATATAGACAGACAGATTTAAAGACTGTGTCCAATAGATATCATGAAATATGCATTCCGTATTAAATTCTCGTGCTCAGGGATCGGACGATGCACGTGTTTTTATTTTCATTTATAAATAGTACCAGACAGAAGTAGAAATTCTGCCGGTGCACTATGACGTCATCAAAAGACAATAGTGACGTCACCGTCAGTCTGGTAGAAGATGAAAAAAATAGTAAAATGGAACGAAAGGAGTGTAAAGAGTTAACTGAGTTACCACCAAGTGGAACTTCCTTACATAAGAGACGTAGGGGTGAGCCACCAGAATCTTTGTCAGTAAAATCTCCACAGACACCATCCGATGCTGAAGGGTCTTCGCCATGTACAGCAGGACCCAGTCCACCTGATGAATTCTGGTTATTAAATGATGGTGAAACACCAGACGCGGAAGCATTTTGTGAAAGCATGTTGCAAAGGCTTAAAGCCCAGAACGATGCCATTTCTAAACGAGGAAGGAATGTAGCTCGAACAACAAAGGATACGGTTGAAGCTATGGATCAGTTGGAGAAATTAATTGAACTGTTAGACCAGTTCGTTTCCCTGAAAGAACAGAATGACCGTATTTTAAGAAGACTAAAAGATGTCAACCATTTGAAGAGGCTGCATTCGGCCCATAAACGAATAGACTTTGAGAATGAGAAAGTGAAATCGGAAATTAAAGAAATAGAGGAAATTAATGAAGCTCTGGACGCAGACTTCGAATGTGAATATGGTCAGATGCTGTTTGATTCCATGATGATGGGCAGCAGGAGTATGAAGAGATCTGGGTCTAAATGGAAGTCTCATGCAAGGTTTGGAGGTTCTTTGCTGCGAAAGCAGAGATCTCGGTCTGCTGGGGGAGATGAAAGTGATGTTTCTCCAGGAACCCCGTTGAGAAGGAGATCCGAAGGTATATTTTTGAAAGAAGTAGAGAAGTCTAAGGTTTCGAAGTGGACGAGAGTGAAAGCAGCGTTTAGGTAATGATTAATTTCAGTATTTATACGATACAATTTTATTGAAATTTCATTAGTTTAGAAATGTAATTTAATTTCTGTATCTATATGACCATCGGTATTGAGAGCCTTATAACTGCCAGTCGCTGATCACTACTTACCGTGAGGCCACCTGCTTCTTTATATCTACCGGCTTGTATAAAATTTTGTGAATGTAATCTAACCCAGGTTACATCAGATTTTAGCCTGAATTGAAGCCTGGTGACTAGGAAATTACTTTCAGCATTAAAGAAATCTTGGTAATATTAGAGTTCAGTTTTTCTCCTCGTAGGTAATATTTATCAGAACTTCGTTGAGTTGACAACGAATACCACTGATATGGTGATTGTTCATAGATATCACAAGTCTTGTTATTATGTAATTATTTTACTTAAAATTAACCAACAAATACTACACAGAATTGTATCCATAACAAATAATATAGAAAGAGTGTAGGTTAACGTAGTTTAAGAACTTTATCGCTTAAATCAAATTAGTTTACTCTCAAAGCAACTTTTTTTTTTTTTGTTTTTTTTTCGGATCTCCTGCTCCTCGGGGCTAGGAGCTAGGAGTATGTGGTGATTCCACTAAAAACCACCCCGTAGGCCGGCCTCAGGTGCCCTTCTCAGGGAGGACCTGGACCATGTTATTTCAGGTCCTCCCCGAATTGACACCATGCCTAGTCAGGCCCTATCCCAGGGGAAAATCACTTCCCCCCTCAATCGCGACGTGGTGGCCCAATTTCGTCTTAACGCAATCAGGCCGCCATCCTATCAATCAGCGACCAGAGGTCCCCACTCTCTGGCGGCCCGCGGCCCCGTCGGCGGCTGGTATGGTCGCCGACGTGCTCTACGCTCGGGATCGGCCCTCTCCCGATCCCGTTCAGCGGTCTCTTTCTGGAGCATTACAGCTTCGCAGAAAGAGACCACTGCGCCCCATCCCTCCTCACCCGCCAGCATGGCAGCAATGATTGCTGGCGGGGACTCTCAAAGCAACCTAGTACGTGCAAGTATCATTCCTGAGACAAGATCGCTCCTAGAAGCCTGTGAACGCCCCAGGAGGCTTCTGCGTTTCTGGAAGGAGCTTGGTTGGCTCACCTAGCTAACCAATCCTCGACGCATAAAGGACCACTCTTAAGTATAAATGCGGAAACCGAAGCCCACAACCACAACCATAGCAACCTAGTAAGGTTAATCAAAAGCTACAGAAAAGGCTTGTACGATGAGCAGTGCGGAAATAGGTACAGCCAGGCACTTACTGACGTTGTAAGGCGCTATTAGACCGGGCTCATTATTCACGTCGCCATGATACCAAGGGTATTACAAATCATACGCGAAGCTGTAAGTTTATCGCCTGCGAGAGCGTAAAATGGCATAACAACAAACACAAAAACTTTGACCACGATGAAACAAGTACTTTGACTTAACCAACGAAGTAACTAAAAATGGTTATGTATACCGTGGAAGTGGGTGCGAGGGGTGTACCAGTTAAATCCCTCTATAGCCTGCTTAAAGACCTTAAATTGCCAAGAGCTTCAGTAAGCTCTTTTCTTGAACGAATATCCAAAGCGGCATTGCTAGGCTCGTATCAAATATGGTTAGGTAGAGGGGGTAACACCGTAGACAGTGGAGGTGAGCGCTGACTCGTCGCAAGGAGTACTCCCTAAACCTATACCTGGGTCCCAAGTCCCAGGCGCTATCGAAGTCGCAAGTGTTGCCCCCATTTATCACGCGATGGACCCTGAAACGCTAAAAAATAGGACTCTGTCGTTTAAAATTATGTATATATTCTCTATTAAACGTAAAATAACTTTACTTGAAAAATATAGTACTCAGTAATTAACTAGCTTTAAAAAAATATACTGTGTCTTCTAGTACTTTAGTCTAATACAATCAATCACAGTATCATAGAACTGTATTCTAATGTTATGAAGATGTTGTGCAAACTCTATGATTTTCAATGTTAAGTGAAAAGAAACTCTAAAAAAAAGTTAAAAAATACTTCAATAGAATAAAGTGTTACGGATTTCCATTAAAAAAAAAGATTTCTAATAAGTTGTAGTATGAAAAAGTAATATTATCTGAGATTATATCAAGAGCATGCTGATTATACATACTAAAGTGGCAAACAAGAGTTTTTGCCTTTCATGGTAAGCAGTTACCGTAGACGTTAGCAGCACAGTTTTATATTGACAGGAAAATTATTACATGCCGTAACACTAATTAGGATTTTTGTTAAAAGTGTTTTTTTTTAATTTATTTATTTGCTGATCAAAGGTGTACAACAGTGTCAAATTTTTATTATTACATGTCCTCTTTGGTCTACCTTAACGACATGCAAAAAAATTAATTGAAATAATTGTCAATTAATTTAGAGTAATAAATTACATTTGTCAAATAAAAATGACAATATAAAATATAAACACATTACAATTATACTTTAAGTTACAAATAAATTTATTGAAATAAGTAACAATAATACAAGATCATCCCAACTAGTAATAATGCAAATAGAGTCTTATTTTCCAGAGAAAAAGTCACTTTTTTACTTTACTAAAATATCATTAAGGCGCTTTTTAAATAGATTAATATTTAACTTTTTAAATTCATAAGGTACCTATCCTGTTAAATATGACCGGTGCCATGCACTTTTATGCGATAAAGCTGTATTTGCTTTACGTATGCAAAGCCTATCGCGTGTATTTGTCCTTCTACTTCGTGTAACAGTGTCTGCCAAAGTCTAAAATAATTCAGGATTGAATTTTATAAAAGTTGCTGTTTCAAATACATATAAAAACGAGGCAAGTTAAGATATCGAGCCTTACAAAGTCTGGTTTACAGCTATCTCTACTATTTTAACCAAACATGCTTCGAATACATCTTTTTTGGGCTTTAAAAACTACATCTTTATGTGTGGAGTTGCCCCAAAATATTGTTCCATATCTTAAATATGACTCAGTTCCATGATAGGCTATAAGTAGTGCATCAATATTTAAGAATACAGAGTGTCACCACCCCTATTCATCCCGTGGGTGTCGTAAGAGGCGACTAAGGGAGCGAAATACGCAGGACACCAGCACTGCAGAGAGAAGGAAAACTTGACACAAACCCTATACCAACCCGTCTGGCCAGCGTGGTATAGTAGGCCAAAACCTCCTTTCTAAGGAGAGGCCTATGTCTAGCAGTGGACTGTTAAAGGCTGTTGATGATGATGATGATGGTAAGTTTAAACAGAGCATATGCTGAACTACTGATTATATTAAATAAAGCCTCTGTGTGTATTTTCCAATTTAATTTATCATCAATAGTTAAAATTTCGTTGTGGGTACTTCACACCATTTAATTTTTTCGTTTTTTATGTACAAATTTTGTAACGTTGGTAGTCTTTGTGAAAATTGCATTAACTTAGTTTTAGGTATATTTATCTTAAGATCAAGCCAATTTATTATATTTAATAGTACAACAATCATGTCGTTTTTATATTTTGTACTAATTTCATGTCTTGTTAAGTACTCCTGTAATTTTTTTCTTTGTGTTTCTAAATATATATTTTTTTACATTCTATAGTAACTGTACTGTCATCCGCAAATAATGTAATTTGATGATCAGTTACTTTAGGCAAGTCATTTATGTATAATATAAACAGCAAAGGACCCAACACAGTACCCTGTTAACGCCATATTTCACTGTTCCTATATGAGAGATGTACGTTTCTATGTTAGTTGAATTGTTTACGCGCTTAATTTCTACGTATTGCTGCCGGTCAGTCAGATATGATTTTATTAGACTTAGGAAATTCCTCGTATACCGTAATGATCAAGCTTTACAAGTAGGATTTCATGATCCACATAATCAAAAGCTTTAGTCATATCATAAAAAATAGCACACACTGATATGTTACTATATACTTTTGCTATTATTGTATTCAAAAAGTCATAAATTGCTCTATTAATACTTCTATTCCACCCTTTTTGCTTAATGGCCAAAATATTATGTTTTTCTAGATAAGTTAGTTATATTTATACATTTCAAAAACTTTAGAAAATGAGATGTAAGTGTGATAGGTCTGTCAAATAAGATAAAAATATATCTCTTTTGAAAAGCGGTTTTACTAAAGATGGTTTTAGTACACTTGGGTAAATATGAGTTGTGATGCTCAAATTTATAATGTGACATAGATGTTTCGAAATGCATCTTACCAATTGGTAAGATGCATTTGGTGCAGTTGGTGGTGGTAAATAGTTAATGAAAAAGTAAATAATCTTTCTTGTTATTATAAGTAAATTGTTTCTTCCTTATATATAATTATTTGATTTTACAATCACTGTCTCTACTAACTTTAAACAATAAACGTTTTAGAACTTCTGCTATTCTTCCTTCTATATAATTATTTGATTTTATAATCACTTTGTCTATACTTACTTTAAACAATAAACGTTTTAGAACTCATGTTGTGATAAAAATGGTAAGAGAAAATACTATGATAACTGAATATAAATGTAAACTGCTAATAAATATACTTCTATCTATATATTAACACTCAAAGAAAATTAATTCAGACCTCTTTTTAGATATATATAGCTTACGTAAGCATCACATCATCACATCACATTTCAACAGAATTTAATAGCCCTCTCCTTGGAAAGTTGGTTTTGACCTACTATACCACGATCGCCAGACGGGTTGCCATAGGGTTTGTTTCAAGTTTTCCTTGTCTTTCTAGTGCTTTTGTCCTGCGTAGTTTGCTCTCTTAGTCGGCTCTTACATCGGCACCTGTCGGTCGATACCCACGGGATCCCCACACAGACAACGTTAGCGTATCATGTTTGAAATGTTTAGTGAATGACAGGACACCCCCTTTTCACCCCCTAAAAGGATGATTTCTGGGATAAAAACTACCCTATATGCTTTCCCGGGACTCCAAAGATCTCTATACCAAATTTCATCTAAATTAATTCAGTGATTTAAGCGTGACAGAAGACAGAATTTCGCATTTATAATATTAGTATGGATTCGTTAATAGTCTATACAATGTAAATTCGAGTAACACTGGTCTATAAGATAAAGTAAGTTTTCAAAATGTTCGTACCTCAACCGACAGGCGATCTTTAGTAATACTGAATATGTATATAGTATGTATAAATAAACTACACGCAGACGCAAAACAAATATTCATGCTTATCACACAATTATTCTCAACAGACAGGATCACTAAACAACTAGGCCAACAGGCCTATCTAAAAATATTTTATATTTATAATACATACAAGAAATAAGAACATAAGTCAATCTTTGAATGATTTGTCTATCCTATCAGAATCTCCCACTAATATCTTCAATCATAAACATTTAAAACATTTTTGCGATGTTTTGAATTTCTTGCTAAAAATATAAAAACGGTACAGTGATCTCAATTCAAAGGTTTCTTGGTAAATGCTGTTTTATTATTACAATGAACTCATAAACATAATGATTTAATTAATGAGGTGGAGATTGACGTAAGAAAGTAAGCAAAGATTGTGTTTACGATGAATTTTACTAGACATCTCTAGAATAAATGGTGTCACACGAATTTCATGGCTTTTGAAACCCAACCCCTTCCTCTCTGGTGTTACATAATTTATAGACAGTCCATAAAACAAAGAGAGAAGTTTTCAAATATTTTATTAAACATTTCGGACAATTTAACACAATATATGTAAATGTTCGCACACAGCCTAAAGTTACAAATCCTTAATCCCTTTAACATCTACGTTTACCTATTTTCCTTCTTCTTCAAGTGTCATCTTCAATATTTACAGGATTACGATAAAAATATAACAGCATTTGCATGATTTTGTAGTAGATAATAACATGTCCGTGTCCGTGTGGTGACGGACTAAGAATACAGAGTGTCACCACCCCTATTCATCCCGTGGGTGTCGTAAGAGCCGACTGAGGGAGCAAACTATGCAGGACAACAACACTGCAGAGAGAAGGAAAACTTGAAACAAACCCTATACCAACCCGTCTGGCCAGCGTGGTATAGTAGGCCAAAACCTCCTTTCTAAGGGGAGGCCTATGTCCAGCAGTGGACTATTAAAGGCTGTTGATGATTGATGAATAACATGTTACATTGAATTGAATTTTAAATCTCATGGTAAAAGGGCATTATCTCTGTTAGTTCTTTTGTCTTAATTATAACTTGATTGGTCTTAAATATGACAAAAGAAAAAGGATATTATTTCATTAGATTTGCAATTCTATGGTTATTAGAAATTCTTTGTAGACTCGACCAAGAAAGAAAAAAAACAGTTTGGGGTCTCTATTACTGGAGACTGGAAATAAACCACTTTTTCAAATATTCGTATTCAATCCATATTATTTAAAGGAGAAATGACAGGTTCAACAGTAAGCCAAACTAATATAAATGTTGTAGGGCATGGATCTGATATTCTTGGGCACCTATATGTACCAAACCTGTCGTATATTCTTTTAAAAGTACAACCAAAATTGATATAGTTACACAACCTCTGCACAGTCACTGCGTATTCTTTAAAGTCTTAAAAATGAATGATAAATGAATTACTTATTGTCTTAATAAGTCTGTCACTTCTCCTTGCCGACTCAATATTTATCTTCTTTTATTTAATGTCACAAATAAATGTTTTCTTTACTAGAACACTTTAAGAAAAATAGAACAAATTCTTTTGTATTTGTTTATAGGAAGTTAGAACCGCTTTAACGCTTACCTGTCTCATAGCTACTAAATGTGCCTGACACTAAAAATAATATTTTGCCAAAACAGAGATTGTTGCTACGAGTATTGCGTTTGTGTGTTGATCTACGATTTTAAAGTCCACATAATTTTTTTTTTTTTAATGAAATCAATATATTTTGAATTTGAATTGAATTTGAATAAATATGACAATAACAAATTTGGTTTTCCTCTAGATGGGAGAACGCACAATGGCCGGCAGTAGCTATCGGTGGCGCTGCAAGTGCAGTTGCAGCTGGTGCGATGGTTGGCGCCGTGGCTTTAGCCGGCTCCTCTCCATCCAATGCAACGTTGACCAATCTTGAGCCAAGAGATTCTGCCAGCTTGACACCAGGAAGCGCAATATCACTGACTCCTAACTCTTCGTGCGAGGAGCTCAGAGTGGATACTGCAAGTACGTTATATTTGAAATTTGTTAGACTTACGTCTGTGATGATTGGGTCTGATTTAAAATTATTAGATTTTTGAATATTTTACAACCCCCTGATTATGATTAACTTAAAAAAATATTATTTTTAATATGTAGTATATGTATAAGTGGTGTGGAGACGGATTAAAAATACGGAGTGTCACCACCCCTGTTCAAGAGACGACTAAGGGAGCAAACTGCGCAGAACAACAGCATTGCAAAGAGAAGGAAAACTTGAAACAAACCCTATACCAACCGTCTGGCCAGCGTGGTATTGTAGGCCAAAGCCTCCTTTCTAAGGAGAGGCCTGTGTCCAGCAGTGGACTGTTAAAGGCTGTTGATGATGATGATGAAAGTATAAGACCAAATCTTCAGGATATTTTTTTTTACGTTAGATGAGATAGTAAAATATTTAACAACACCTATAAAAACTTAATAAGTGTATTGAGCTAAATCGTTCTTAATTTACCACCACGCTACTTAAAACTCTACGCCATCCGTGCAGTCGAACGGAACGTGCAGTCGAGTGGTTTAAGCGGTCGCCATGCCGCTTCCTACTACGCTGAGTGTTGTGGGTTCTGAGTCTGGGTGTTCTTTGTGTCCCGTTCATGTATGTTTGTAAAGTCCCCCGTCACACAGGATACAATCCTAATGCGGGAGTTGTCTTTTTTAAAGAAAAGAAATAAAAAAAAAATAGTTCGTAATCTGGCAACATACAGTACACGTTCTTAATTATCAGTGAGCGAACACGACGAGTGCCAAATATTAAGAATCTTTTTAAAAACAATTGTCGCCTTGACATTGTAAAATTTCAAAGAAACATTTTGCATCAAAACAAGATGTTTCTACTCGACGCCACTTTCGTTAAAAGCTTGTTAAAGATAATAAATGAAACGCAATGCTTCATTTATACTTAATACTTACGTACTAACTTTTTTAAATTATAATTTTTTGAGGAAAAACAAGAAATTTTATAGGCTTAAACTAATTTTAGATGTTTTGTTCAACTATTAATAATAAATGGGTGCATTACCTGTTTAACTCATGTTTTATAATAACTTCTCTGTACCCCTCACTAGACTCGAGAGCAATAAACCCGGGTCACATAATGATACCTAAAATCCGCTTGCTAGCTTAGTGAAATAATTTATGTTTGATAGAAAATTTAATATTGCTTAATTGTAAGGAATATAATTTCATTTGAATACTTTACATTTTGTTTTTACTTTTACCACAATAGCCTGTACATCAAATTTCGATTAGGTGTTTTTGTATGTTAAATTAAATATCTAATAAAGGTATAGGCCTTTATTAGATATTTCAAGCTCTCGGAGGGTAATCGCGGAAGGTGTACGTTGTCACACGTATTGCCCGAGCTCGTCCCAAGCGTAATCCTATCCTATTTAAGTTGGAGCTGTGGTCACTCCATGCGTTTAATGTTCACCTTTTGAGTAATAATCACCACATCATCAACAGTCTATGATAGTCCACTGCTGGACATAGGCCTCTCCTCTGAAAGGAGGTTTTGGCCTACTATACCACGCTGGCCAGACGGGTTGGTATAGGGTTTCTTTCAAGTTTTCTTTCTCTTTGCAGTGCTGTTGTCTTGCGTAGTTTTCTTCCTTAGTCGACTTTTACGACACCCACGGGATGAATAAGGGCGGTGATTCCTAATCCGTCACCACACGGAGTAATAATAATAATATACTTATTTGCGTAAAACACGGTATACAATGGAGTTAAATATTATTTTTTAGAGCACATACATGTTTTTGGTAAAATGTAGGTAGTCATTCAATCCGATACGAAACCGTTGCTCTCGAGTGTAAAACTATGATAGCTAATGTTAGGCTGGTTTAGTTCTTTGATCGAATTTTGCGTAAACCATAGCAGACACGATGAGAAACATGTGTTATGGTGGTTATTTATGAACCAATAAAGTATTTTTAATCTGTGGTGAGATGAGAAAAGTAGACAGAAACGTTGGAAATGGAACAGATTACGTTTATAAATATAATTTATTTAGTTTTTTATCTTTTTAAAGGAGATAGGATTTAACTATTTAACCGCCTAATAGTAACTCGTTTATATGCATTTCGGAAAAAATGCCTTGTTAAATTGTACTATATCCGTCGTTGTCTGTGCATGCAGACACATGGGTGTGGGTTCACATCAACAGCCTTTACTAGTCCACTGCTGGACATAGGCCTCTCCTTGGGAAGGAGGATTTGGCCTACTATACCACGCTGGCCAGACGGGTTGGTATAGGGTTTGTTTCAAGTTTTCCTTCGCTGTGCAGTGCTGTTGTAATGCGTAGTTTGCTCCCTTAGTCGCCTCTTACGACACCCACGGGATGAGTAGGGGTGGTGACAATCTGTATTCTTAATCCGTCACCGTGGGTTAATACGGTATTTCTTGTATGTACTGTGCATTGGCGGTAGGACTCTCGTCATTAAAGTCCCTGACATACATTGTTAGTTACAGGTTTGTTACCATCAAATTACCTACTGCTCACGTATTTGCGATTGCAGTTATGAGGGAATATTATAGCAGAAAGTCTTTGAAAACGGTTTTTTCCCCCAATCGTTCTCTCACTGCTGAGGATCGTGACTCCTTTCCATCCTCTCAATCATCTGTCTTCATTGGTTGTAATCTGGGGGACTATGTCTATGACCTTGGTTCTCTGCCGGTTCACCTCATTCCTGATGAGGTCTCTTAGAGAAACTTCGATAAATATTTTTAATCTATACATAAATTAGTTTATTTTTTTATGGGATAGATAGACTGAATTTAGGGATTATCATCAAATTTTCCAAAAAACCAACTAACGGCTAGAAAAAAGATTTAGTGGCTGCACTAAAATCTATAGTAATAATCACCAACCAGGCATCGGGATCAATCCAGGCGCTCTGAGTAAAGGCCATTTTTTTTAAATGGACAGCACATTTCGTTTTGTTGGCTATCTGATTTTCGAAATGTACATGTCATTGAATATTTCGTAGAAAAGTATAAAATATTTCATTTCCAAGAAAAACATAAATCACCCACGTTATGAAATACAACCTAATAATTTAAGATGGCGATGTTTTTGTGAAATTGTGTCATAATTTTTATTATCTTTTTATATGTGATGTGGCGAGAATTTCTAATGACGATAAACAATTCCAGGTATCCGCAAGAGTACCAGAGATGATGGTGACAACACATTCCTGCATCTGCCTCCGCAAGTAAGTAGATGGATTGAATCAAAATGTTCTATTAACATTCGCCATATTATCCAGATAACCTCCTTGTAAGGAGAGGCCTATGTCCAGCAGTGGACTATTAAAGGCTGTTGATGTGACGTGATCCATATAATCTATACTAATATTATAAAGCTCAAGAGTTTGTTTGTTTGTTTGTTTGAACGCGCTAATCTCAGGAACTACAGGTCCGATTTGAAAAATTCTTTCAGTGTTAGATAGCCCATTTATCGAGGAAGGCTATAGGCTATATATCATCACGCTAAGACCAATAGGAGCGGAGCACTAATGAAGAATGTTTCGAAAACGGAGAAAATTTATTACTATTGAGAGACGCAGACGAAGTTGCGCGGGTCAGCTAGTACGTAATAATTAGAAATAAAGCATAACAGATTTCTTTCTGTTCAAACCGGAATAGGTCCAGTAAGATGTAGTGTTTGTACCAGACTTAACTAGGAGGGGGAAAATAGGGCTCACCACGTGCTAGCATACCTTCTTCACTGCGCACTATAGGCATGAGACAACAAAGACTGGGCTACGTCAACAAGTCGGACTACTAAACGATAGTTCGGTACTCACTTCACATTACAACTCACAGCAAGCATTTACGTAAGAAACGATTTTGAGAGGTAAAGAAAGCCCCGAAGTTGTCAGAAACGATAAGAGTTACACGTTATAAAGAGAGGCAGATTTTATTTATTTATTTACTTGTTGATGTTATTTCTTTACTCTCAGAACATAAATCTTCAAAAAATCTTCCGAAGGTGCACATTTCTAAACCACCAATTTCAATATTCATATTAATTACAATCCGTGTGGTGACGGATTAAGAATACAGAGTGTCACCACCCCTATTCATCTCGTGGGTGTCGTAAGAGGCGACTAAGGGAGTGAAATACGCAGGACACCAACACTGCAGAGAGAAGGAAAACTTGACACAAACCCTATACCAACCCGTCTGGCCAGCGTGGTATAGTAGGCCAAAACCTCCTTTCTAAGGAGAGGCCTATGTCCAGCAGTGGACTGTTAAAGGCTGTTGATGATGATGATGATGATTAATTACAATGATTTTTACTGTCTTTATAATTCGGCAAAATAAAAATCAACATTCTTGATATTAAAATCCAATACTTACATTTATATCAGAGGCAAAGGGTAACTGATAAATATTAGTTTTTTCACTTAACCTGATATTTACAGACTATCATTCCTAAAATAAGCTTTCTGTTTTAAAATAAATTTGAAAAAAATCGTTGGGTGCCTGTTGCCAATAGTAAAAAGCACCCCACGCTTTTTTCAATTTTATTAAAATTTATTTTCTATTTTTTAGTTTGGATTTCTATAAAAAGCGTGTTTTTTTTAATATTTTATTTTTATTTTTAAATTAGTGTATTGTCATCGGTCCTCGAAATATCTACAAAGTTTGAACGAATTCTGACCGTTTAAAGTCAGTCAAAATCACGCCCAAATGAGACGGTTACAAACAAACATACAAGTGAAGCTAATATAAAGAGTGTAAAAAGAGCATGTATTTTCCATGAAAATTGTTAAGGTTTTACGTTAAGGCTTTAAAAAATTACCCTAATCTTGCAGATTCTTTAAAGCTTTGTAGAATAAAAATCAAATCCTGTACAGGACGATAGCTCCACCTCGCCTTCGCCAAATAAACTTCATAAAAGCCCTTGGGGGAAGATGCGCGACATCATCCAGACACACCGGGAGTCAGTCAAAAAGAAAACCAATAGGGGCTCGAAGAGTTCTCCTGATGTGGTACCAAAGAGACGAAGATCCTTCAGCGATGGTGGTGACAGTGACGCACCACCGCCAGCCCTGACTCTGACGATACCATCTTCTGAGGAACTTGGTGAGCTATTTATTGATTTTTAAATGTTTTCAGAAAAAGATTTGTTTGAATAGAATATGGACCATTAAATGATAACATGTTTGGCTTATAACCAGCATGCCAATTTTTACCTTAGGGCTAGAACCGGTTTCTGCAGGTTTTCTCATAAAAAAATAAAGCATATTTATTGTTAAAGTAACAAACATAATTAACCTAATTATATTACAATTCGATGAATTGTAATAAATTGTAATTTTGAATGGAAAAAATAAGAAAAAAGCCTCCCAAATCAAAAGAGAGTGGTCCATTTGAGGTTCACAAAGACAGTGTTCTAGAAAACATACAGAACAACCGACCTTTCTTTAAGTCATTTAGCAAAATAAACATCTAAACAACTCATCACATAAAAGTATGGATTCATTAAACTTTTCTAAATGTGTTGTGTAGAATAAGACGTATACCTGTTGCCATGACCGCTGGCCTTGGTTTCACTTTCTTGAATTATTTTTAATGGAATAGGAGGCAAATGAGCAGAAACTGACTACTGTTGCCCATGAGCGCTAGCAACTTAGGAGTTACAAGCCCGTTGCTTGCCTTTTACAAGGAGTACGCTTTCTCTCGAAGGTTAGAAGGACGTATCGGTCTGGAAATACCGCAGACGATAATTTCGTAATTCAAAACTGACAATGAGAGAACAAAATGTCAAATTAATCAAACAATAAACATATTAGTGTCTGCTATTAATCATGTTTCTAATGTGTGTGCTATTAATTCAACATGCATGTTAAAATTAAGATTATTTAATTTTAAAGAGTGACCCACTTGTTTTGGCTGGAGTGTTTTCGTGTAAGATCCATATCTAGATAGTTACAACAGTGAAATGTGTTAACTCCTTCTGGAGCGCAAGCGAACATTAGCTTTTTCTGTGACTACCTGGTGTAGTGTAATATGTATTAGCGCTCAATAATTGAATTAATGATGTCGGGTTCAACTGGGTTGGGCAAAAACTGTCTTTGGATTTTTCGGTCAAGAAACAGCTTTGAATTGGTGTTTTACCCTAAAGTTTTGGGAAGCTTATAATACCGTACCATTTAAATGTTTTTTTTAATTTTATTTATTAAACTTTATGCACTTTTGTACATCGACGGACTTAATGCCCAGGGCATTCTCATCCTGTCAACCTTTCTGTGGTGTAGAAATCTTGTAAGGTAGGTGCACAGAGTATATGTAACGGTTCGCTACATACATAAACTTATATACAAAACAACACATCATAAATTCCCATATATGCAAATGTTATACCTGATATTGCTCTACTCCTAAAGGTAATAGCGTTCTAATAAATACACTATCACCTTCAAATCAAGGTAATTATTTCAGAGAATAGCAAGTTCAACTTAAAAACAATTTTTTCATTCTTATTAATATAGGTAGGTATTTTAAACGTTACTCTTCTTCGATCTTTTGGAACTGCATTCTTATTATTTAAATATTCAAGGGTACTCATTGTTTTCTACTCCGTATTTTCATAATAATAATGCTTTGATTGTTTGATCCCAAACTATTTATACACTTACTAAACTTACTAAATACACACTTTTATAGATGACAACCAGGCAAAGAACAAATGATCATGCTTATCACAAAATTTATTTATCTTGAGTGAGAAACTGGCTTCTGGCTTCTTAGATAGACTGGCCACTAAACCCACAAACCAGTCAATAATAATTAATAACTTGGAACGCGTTGCCAGCACCCTATAAAGATGAAAAAGCAACGATTTCCTAATGCCCATCTGACCTATTATTTGCAAATTACTATTGTATTATAAGAACTCGAATAATAATAATATTCTACTACATTCACACAACGCCATCTAGTCCAAAACTAAGCAGAGCTTGTACTATGGCTACTAGACAACTGATATAAATACATATGTATGTATGTATATACTTTTTTTTGTAAATTTAATACAACAAAATACAATTATTTGTAAATACATACATATTATAAATAGAAATACTCTGACCAAATCAAACATTAAAAGGTTATGCACACAAATGTTTGACTTGAGCGGGAACCGAACCTGTGACCTTTGGAATAGCAGTCCGTTACAAAATCCACTACGCCATCCGGTCGTCATTCTAATAATAATAATATACTGGGTACTTTATACAAATGACGTTTTATATATGTGTGCAACCATTTCCCACTGCCATTGTACAGACATCGTCTTCGATGTTTTCTTCCTAGACTCTTAAACTAAGTCAGATAACCTACTATCAATTTTAAACCTTCTCTTCATTAAGACAAAACTGTAAATTTCAAAGTTACTACTTTAAAAGAGTTATTTCAGTCTTCTCCTTATGCCTTCTTCTCTTCTTTTCATAATTGGCTGTACCAATTTCCAGTTGAAATTTTTCCGTTAAAGTTTTAAAAGAAAAAGGCGCGAAATCAAAACAAAACAAGCCTTGTAAATAGAATATTTATTATTCATCTCTCTTGCAGAATCAGAGCCCTCCCATCCCGAGCTTCGTAAGCAGCTGTCCCTGGAGCTCGGAGGTCGTCCTCCGCAGCACCGCCCCCCTCGTGCCTCCAAGTGGACCAAGGTGAAACGGGCATTTCTTACCTCCGCATCTGCTTCGGTTCCCTCCAGCCCTAACAGGCATTCTGCTTTCTTCACCGATGCAGGTATGTGCCTTTTTACTTTTTAACCTTCCTTGGAGGTATTTCTTCTTTTTGATCCCTCATGAGATTTTTAGAACAAATTCAATCACTCTCAAATATAAACATACATTACAGCTCACGGGTTTTTTTTTAAAGACAACTCCCGCATTAGGAATATTATCCTGTGTTTCGGGGAACTTTACAAACATACATGGAACGGACACAAAGAACACCATGACTCAGAACAACAATTTTTGGATCACACAAAGTGTCGTCCCATGTGGGGTTTGAACCCACAACACTCGGCGCAGTAGGAAGCGGCTCGGGACTGCTTAAACCACTACGCCATCCGTGCAGTCCAGTCTGATTGAAAAAATGAAAATTATATTAAAATGTTTTGATAAGAAAATGCTTTCCTTGATATATCGAGTGATATTTATAACAACGTGTTATGAATTTTCATAACAACCTAAATTATTTTATGCCGAGAAATTCGGATGACTGTTGTGTAACGGACTGCTATTTCAAAGGTCGCGAGTTCGATTCCCGCTCAAGTCAAGCATTTGTGTGCATGAACATATTTAATGTTTGATTTGGTCTGGGTGTTTCTATGTATAATAAGTATGTATTTACAAAAAAAAGTTTATATGTATTTATATCTGTTGTCTAGTACCCATAGCTCTGCTTAGTTTGGGACTAGATGGCGTTGTGTGAATGTGGTAGAATATTATTATTATATTTTATCAACGTCTTTGTGTAGAGCAATTTCATTGAAAATGGCGTTCCCTTTAAAAAAATATTAATTTAACCAAGAAGTATTAAATTCTTATTCATCTGACCTGTTTGGCTAGTGGCTGCTAATCGGTTCGATTCCCAAGACGTACGAGTCCAGTTCTGTAATGATAACGATTATTCGTGCCGTATCTGGGTGTAATTTATCTATAAATTGCAAGATTTTATAAATATTAATATAAGTTTATCAGTAGTCTAGATACCTTAGTATAGGCTCTGCCTAGTTTGGGATCACACGGCCGGGTTAGGATATGTCGAGATTTTAAATATCATTACCTCAGCTTGTAGATAAATTTCTTATTCTATAAAACTGGCTATTATTCGTACAAAGAGATTACTTTATATGCATAAATACATACATACACGTGTCTGTCTCATTTATTTATTTATAATTTTAACTAGCTGAGACCCGCGTTGTTACCCGCGTTTGTTGTTATAACCGCGGGCAACGCCGCAGGGCGAAGCTAGTCTAAAAGAGTAGCCTAAGTTACTCCTTATGTCATCAGCTATCTGCCAGTGAAAGTCCCGTCGAAATCGGTCCAGCTGTTCCAGAGATTACCCGGAACAAACAGACAGACATACAGACAAAAATCGTAAAAATGATATTTTGGCATATGTACCGTGTAAACAAACATACATATGCATTTAGTAAAAAGCGGTTATTTTAATATTACAAACAGACACTCCAATTTTATTTATTTGTATAGATACATTATTATGCAAATAAATAAAATTAAAGTGTCTATTTGTAATGTTAAAATAATAGTTTTTTTTTCATGCTCACACGGCTATTTGCATGACACCTATTCCGGAAAACTAGATTAAATATTTTTGTCTGTCTGTCCGTCAGTCTGTCTGTCTGTTTGTTCTGGGCAATCTTCAAAACGGTTGGACCGATTTTGAAAATATTTTACTACCAGCCAGCTGTCTATATAAGGAGTAACTTAGGCTTTTTTCCTCTTAGAAAAGCCCTAAAAAGTTTTGCCCGGTCTGGGAATCGAATCAGAGGCCTCATGGACTGCAGTCGCGTATAATAGTACTACACCAATAGGGCAGCGTTTCTCAAATTCCACGCGAACGAAGTCGCGGGTACCACCTAGTGTAATCTATTAGCTTCTGCAGAGGATTTCGCTCGCATAAATGACAATTTTGTGAATTAAAGTGATAAATAGCAACCTCGAGTATGCTTAGTAAAATTGATTAGGGAATTTCAATAATAGATCCACCACGTTAGGTTAGCATAATCGTCACGTTAGGATAGCATAATCGTCACGTTAGGATAGCATAATTGTCACGTTAGGATAGCATAATCGTCACGTTAGGATAGCATAATCGTCACGTTAGGATAACATAATCGTCACGTTAGGATAACATAATCGTCACGTTAGGATAACATAATCGTCACGTTAGGATAACATAATCGTCACGTTAGGATAGCATAATCGTCATAATAAAAACACTCGAAATGATTGTTCACTTGAAATCGGAGCCCATCACCAATAAATATTATTCTGTTATATTCTCGTACCAAATCATTCGATACACATAAATGTAAGTAAATACAATGTTGCATCTAACGTCTTACAGATATACGTAACCTATTACATTCACATTTTATTACAACTGTTATACATTCCTTTCGAAGCCAAATGCCAAGCCCAGGAATTGTTGTCAATAACAAACGTACTGTCATTTTGGTAAACAAGTTATTTTACCATCAAATAATAGAATTAGTTTCATCGTGCATAAATTATTCTAAACTGGCCAAGCCTGCCAAGTTTCGCTGTGGAGCTTGTGATTGCATTGATGAGAAATGAAGTATAAAAATAACGATAAAATTTAAATCAACAATATTTGAAACGAGTTGTATTGAGTGTCAAAATTTAAGCTTAATCGCTGCAGGATTTTTTAAGCTTTTCCACCAACCAACCAAAAAAGTTTTCTAAACCAACTCAATGTTTTTATATAGCTGTACACATTGGCAATAAATATTCACATACGAATACCAACCTTATTAATATTTAATTAAAAATATTTGTTATTTACAACATACCTACGTAACGTACCCTCACATATTTTATCTCCAAAGCGGTAGACAAAGGCGTGTAACGCGTGTTAAATGTGGGCCCACATTTTGCCTACAGTTTTTACTACATATGTAGATCGTTTTTATTACCGATATAATAGGTCTTTACCTATGAAATTGCCGTTTTGTATGCAATAAGTGAAAGTACTTATTTTTTCGAACTTTTTTATTTCTGTTATTCGAAGTAATCACCCATGCAATCGACGCATCTTTGCCCATGCATTGGCAGTTTATTGATGCCCTTCTTGTAAAAATCAGCTGGACGGGCAACAAACTCTTCAAAGGCATTTTTTGGAATTGGATTTTTTACCTACTAAAAAGTTGTCTAAATTTTGGAAAAAGTAATGGTCGGTCGGTTTGAAAAAATAAGTACTTTCACTTATTGCATACAAAACGGCAATTTCATAGGTAAATACCTAATATATTAACCAGCGATCCGCCCCGGCGTCGCACGGGTGCAATATAGGTACTATTAATGCTACTAATGTGGTGTTAGTGTGAAGTAATCAATTGATACTATTATTATGATAAGACATACTACAGGACATTTTATATGCATGATTAGAGGGCCGCTCTGCGCCTACCGGCCGCTGCCACCCGGGATATTCACTTCAATGATATTTTGTAAAAGCCAATTTTGATCGACATTAAATGCACAACGTATCACACGTATTTATTTGTATAAGGAATAATACTGAATTGTTAAAAATAGCTTCGTAAATTACCCATAAATTTTTGTTATATGTAAAAAATTAAAATGGTTACTGTGGGTTATCTTAAGGAGATATATACCATCCCAAACTTTTTTTGTAGATCTTTTTAAGATATACAATTCCATAGTACATTATTTTGATCTATCAAGTAAGGTTTAGCCAGCGTTTGCAATTTAAGCGCAAAAAAACATCGTTTTACGACTTCACATTACAAATCTTCGAAATTCTCCGATTGCCTCTACTATAATATGCATGTATTATACAAATAAACCTGCCCCTTGTATTACTCTCTCTATTGGTGAAAACCGCATGACAAAAAAAAGTGTATTTTGTAAGATTTAAGCGTACAAGAAAAAAAGCGACTTCATTTTATACTATATAAAGATTCCCTCATAACTGCAATTCCCATGCCGAGAGCAGTAGCTAATTTGTTGGTAACAAACACAGAATGTATGTCAGGGACTTTTGTGACGTACGAGTAAGTCCTATTGCTAATGTACAGTAATAACTAGAAATATCGATAAATCTGTACTAATGCATGAGCAATATACTAAAATAACTTTCTAACAATCGTGTATTGTGTACGCTTCTAAATTTTTTTAAAGAATTAAGATGGCAATAGTAGCCAGACCATCATCATCAACAGCAGTTGAATTATAGAAAATAGCATGTAAACATCATATCATTGGAATAAAGGCATTCGTGATTGGTATTGATATTTTGACTGTCCTGTTGGTCTAGTGGTTAGTGACCCTGACTGCTACGCCAGAGGTCGTGGGTTCGATTCCCACCCAGGACAAATAATTGTGTGATGAGCACGGTCATTTGTTTTATGAGTCTGGGTGTACTTTATCTATAGTATGTATGTATTTAGAAATATATAAGTATGTTTATCAGCAGTCTGGTTACCATAGCACAGGCTCTGCCTAGTTTGGGATCAGATGGCCGTGTATGAAATGTGTAAAAATATTATTATATTTATAAATATATATTGCGACCGGATTGTGTAACGGATTGCTATGCCGAAGGTAGCGTGTTCGATTCCCGCTCAAGTCAAACATTTATGTGGATGAAAATTTAATGTTTGATGTGATCTGGATGTTTCTATGTATAATATAGATGTATTTACAAAAAATATATATACATGTATTTATATCAGTTATCTAGTACCCATAGTACAAGCTCTGCTTAGTTTGGGACTAGATGGTGTTGTGTGAATGTGATAAAATATTATCGTTTTTATAAAGGTTATTGACGAACGGGACCCGACAAGGGAAGAAGAAACCTTCCACGATAGTGTAAGGTGTACTGAATCAAACTCAAAATATCTTAATTTCATAAAAAAAAATTGTTTGATATCGTCTTTCATAGAACAACGCATAAAATAGCAGAAATCACTGTTTTGTCAAATGTTTCGCAAAATAAATTTAATAAAAATTATACTTATACAAAATCT